CGGGTGCTGCCGGTCCCGGAGCTGCTGGACCTGCGGGTTCTCCTGGAGCTGGAGCTGCTGAGGGCATTGGTGCTGAGCCTACTGCTGTTGGTCCTGCCGCTGGAGGTGTGGGTGGTGCTGGTGCTGTCACTGAGGGTGCTGGTGCTGTCCCTGCTGTTTCTGGAGCTGCCGCGCGGCCTCGGCCGTACTTCGTTCCGCTCCTGCAGCAGGTTCTTGGTCTTTCTCCTCCAGTAGAGGGTCCACCGCCTGTCCAGTCGCAGTCCCTGCTGGAGCCTTCCTCTCCACTGCCTGCTCCCTCTCCTTACACTGGTCCTATTGGAGGTCTTGCTGAGCGTCGTGAGCCTGCGTCTCGTCCCGCGTCGCCTGTTCGTACTGCTCGCGCTAGTGGTCGCGGTTCGCGTCAGCGTCCTCCTCCTGTCCCTGGCACGCACCGGATGTCTCTGCGTCCGTCCACTGCTCCTCTGCGTGCCCCTTTGCCTTCTCCTCCTGAGTCCTCTCTTCCTGCGCTTGCCGACCCTGAGTCGGACTCTCTTCGTGCTGCCAGTCCTACTGTCACGCGTCTCCTTGCTGCTGTCGTCACTGACCCTTCTTTCGAGTCCACTGCTGCGTGTGCCCTCGTTGCTGAGCTCGTCGACTTTGCTGCTCGCTGTCGCCTAGACTACGCTGCTAGTCTTGTAGCTGAGTCTGAGTCTGTCTGTCCTCCGTCCGTCGGGGGTGAGTGTGCTCTTGGCACGGACGTCCTAGAGGACACGCAGGAGGAGTTACAGTGTCTAGCGGCTGCTTCACCTCATCTCGCGTCTGTACTGCTTGCCCCTGAGGGAGACCCGGATGCACTAGACATCCCGACTCCGCGTTCTTACGCGGAGGCCGTAGAGGGTCCCTACTCCTCTCAGTGGCAGGCAGCTATGGATGCAGAGATGGCTTCCTGGAAGTCCACAGGCACCTACGTTGACGCGGTTCCCCCTCCTGGGGCGAACATCGTCAGTGGCATGTGGATCTTCAGGGTGAAGCGGCCGCCGGGCTCTCCACCTGTCTTCAAGGCACGGTACGTTGCTCGTGGCTTCAGTCAGCGGCAGGGAGTTGACTACTTTCAGACCTTCTCTCCCACCCCGAAGATGACTACTCTTCGGGTGCTGCTGCACATAGCCGCTCAGCGCGACTACGAGCTTCACTCTCTCGACTTCAGCACTGCGTTCTTGCAGGGTAGCCTGCACGAGGAGATCTGGCTGCGCCGTCCACCTGGCTTCACTGGGACTTTCCCTCCTGGCACCCAGTGGAGCCTCCGACGGCCAGTCTACGGTCTCCGCCAGGCACCGCGTGAGTGGCACGACACACTGAGGACTACGCTTGCGGCTCTTGGGTTTGCTCCTTCTACTGCTGACCCGTCGCTGTTTCTTCGCACCGACACTTCGCTGCCGCCGTTCTACATCCTCGTGTACGTCGACGACTTCGTCTTTGCCACAGCGGACACTGCTGGACTCGCCTACGTGAAGTCCGAGCTGCTGAAGAGACACACGTGCACAGACCTGGGTGAACTGCGCAGCTACCTTGGCTTGCAGATCACTCGGGACAGAGCACGCCGCACCATTACCTTGACTCAGTCACACATGGTGCAGCAGGTCCTTCAGCGCTTCGGCTTCACGTACTCCTCGCCTCAGGCCACTCCTCTGCCTACTCGCCACTCACTCTCAGCTCTGCCTTCGGATGAGTCCGTAGAGTCGAGTGGTCCGTATGCAGAGCTTGTTGGCTGCCTCATGTACCTGATGACCTGCACACGACCTGACCTTGCATACCCTCTGAGCATTCTTGCACGCTATGTTGCTCCTGGGAGACACAGACCGGAGCACATGGCTGCAGCGAAGAGGGTATTGCGCTACCTGTGCAGTACGTCGGGCATGGGGCTAGTGCTTGGAGGGCGGAGTCCAGTGGTCCTTACCGGCCACGCGGACGCTTCTTGGGCTGACGACCAGGCTACGCAGCGGTCGTCACAGGGTTACACCTTCAGCCTTGGTTCCGGCTCTGTCTCGTGGCGGTCTACTCGCTCGTCTTCGGTTCTCGGCTCCAGTTGTGAGGCTGAGATCTACGCCGGGGCCATGGCTGCACAGGAGCTTCGCTGGCTCACCTACCTGCTGACTGACCTTGGAGAGCCGCCTCGTTCTCCTCCAGTGCTGTACGTAGACAACAAGGCCATGCTGGCCTTGTGTCGAGAGCAGCGCTTGGAGCACAGAACGAAGCACATTGCTCTCCGCTACTTCCTTGCTCGTGAGCTGCAGCAGCGTGGTCAGTTGCGACTTGCGTACGTGGCCTCTGAGGCCAACACTGCTGATGTGTTCACCAAGGCACTCGCGCCTTGTGACCATCAGCGCTTTTGCACCCAGCTGGGTCTTGTACCTGTCTTGCCTCACTTGCTCTCCTCTTGACTTCACTTGTACTGTGACATATATATATACCTGCTCTTGCTTGTCTAGTTTTATATATATGTCTGTACTCCTGCATGTGAACTGGCCTCTGGCCCTGCTCTTGTGCTCGGACTGTGTGGTGACTTTGTGATCCACCCTGAGCTTGCTTTGCTTTGCTTTGCTTGACTGGTCTTGTGACCCCTTGTTCTCCCCCACTTAGCCTATGGGGGTGTGTCAGAGTGTTATAGCTGATGCATGTTTGTAGGCTTTAGTGGGGTGGCACATATGGGGTACAGCTTTCTAGGGTTGTATTTGTACCCAACTCTCACTTAGTCATTTCATTCCTGTTCATTCTTTTCACAGGTTGGTTCAGTCCCCAAAAGCCCCAAATTGCAAGCGCGCTTCTTTTCAAAGCTTGCAAACACTACATTGTCAAGTTTTAAAAGCTTGACCCGTGCACTCTGCAATTTGGACCGCGGGCTTTAAGAGGTATGACTTTGTGAGGGAAATTCCTATTCCTTACTTCGGGCCCTTGCTTACCACGTACATGACTGTTCCCGCCAACAGTACCCAACTGTGCACTGCTACCACTCGCGACACTCGTATTGACCACCGTCCCTGCCACTGTTCACAACGCGACCCAACCTCACGGTTCGGTTGGTAACCCGCCAGGGCCTCAGATTGGTTTTGGGCTAGGCTGAACAATCAGAGTTGGTACAAAAAAGTATGCTGAAAAACATATAAATTAGCCATTTTATGCCATTTTACACTATAAAATTCATAGTTTTCCCTGTTTTTTTCCAAAAAAAATTGCTGAAAAATCAGCCCTGGTTCTAAACGAAATCTGAAATCTCAGCCTTTTTTACCTAAATCAGCCTTTTTTCGCTGACTTCTGAGGCCCTGTAACCCGTGCTCCGAACCTCCGCCTTGACACTTCCCAACCTTGGTGCTAGGCCCGTAGCGCACCCCAATTTTCCGCGTTACCGTTACCATGCCAGCTTCGCTATATAATCTTCTCTCATTCCTTAGCTCGATGTACTATTTGCTTAGATAGTGCATTTGATAACTAGCTCTCTCAATTGTAATTATAACAGACTTGCTTGTATATTTTTTTTGCAATTATCTCTAGGAAGTGCATGCATTGTGGACAACTTGTGCTCAAGACTTGACCTGGTTATTCGACCAGGGTGGCTTCACCTGAGCTGACCTGACTCCATTGCCAGCCAAGGTCCCCTGGCTGCAGGTGAGTTGGTGAAGCACCTATCTGCGCTTCGTGCGGTGCTTGACCTGAGAACATGCTTCTGTATCCTGCGCAGGTTTTTGTTGGCTGGACCTTCGCCAGGACAGGACAAGCCGTGAACAGCCAGTTTTGGTGCTTCAGGGAGTGGAGGGGACGGGCAGGAGCAAGAATCGTCCCTGCTTGACGTGGACAATGGAGGTCAGTGACGGACAGACCGAGGAGTTTTTTCCACGACAGCAGAAAATGGAGATCTGCAGTAAGTGCCGCTTCTGCTCAACCACATCATGAACAATCGACCCATTTCACAATTCCCTGGGTGGAACCGTATTGCATATTGTGAAAAGACGCTAAAACCTCTCACACTGCTTGAAGCTGTCAGATTGTGTGTTCTTAGCGGGAACAAAACAAGAAAAAATATACATCTGGAGTTTCAGGGATTCCTGTCATGTTATATCCCAGGCATTCTTGTACAGTGCAGTTCAGTACACTATGGTCCATACAGTTGTTCTTGCATTAAGTCCCGCTCCAAAACACGAACCGCGCGGGACTATGAGTCAAAACCTCAAAATCCCAGGCAAATTGAACCCTATAGTCCCAACTGGGCGGTTTAGGTCGTCCTTACGTATGATGGCTGGTACGGCATCGTACGGCTGCTCTGGTACGTCTCGAAACTTCAAATTTCGCAAACCTTGTACACGTCGCACTAGTAATCTGACTCTGCCATTTGATTGGTTCAGCCACTGATTCACTCTGAATCACAAGGATCAGATTCGTTACTGTACATTTTCAGCCACCCGCAAGGGGACTGTAGAGGAGGGGCTACACATAGGAATTATAGGAAAAAGCTCCTCTTTTTAAAAATGGGACTTTGTTAGCGCGGGCCTTTATAGCGGAACCATTTGTAAATCTTGTGGCTGTTGCGCTGCGCAGCCGCCAGCACCATCCCATTGAGTCGCGTCGCATTCGAATTCTTCTTCCCCTCCATCCTACACTTCCCTTCCACATTCACGTCTCTCGGCTCAAGATCTCAACCCTCAACCCTGCAGTCCTCATGCATTGAGGGATCCTACCATCGTTCGAATATAAAAATATGGCACAGCTGAGCACGTTATAGGAGACTTCAAGAAGCAGACAACTTACACATTCCATCGCATTTTAGGGCAGGTCATCTGGCGTGAGTCACGTAGTAAGCACATTTCAGCCAGTCTGTCACAACACACCACCAGCATCCCATCTCATTGCTACCACCACAACGCCTCGCCCTCATAGCGGCAGCTCGCCTGCGAAGCCGTGTAACCATCCCCACCATTCCCCAACGCTCCACATCACTGTTCACGCAGCGTAACACCACCATATAATAAATGGCGGATCTTTCCGCAGATCCCGCTCGTCTCCGCGCCCGTCCTCTCGCCACGATAGTCGTCTCCACGGCGCTACTGCTACTGCTACTGCTGGCGGGAGGCGAGGGGCCGCGAGTGGCAGCAGCACAGGACGTGCTCGTTGCTAGCCAGCACGGTAAGCGCCATGGCTCCATTAACGCCATGATCGCCATTCTCGCCGTGGGCGCCATTATCGCTGTGCTGCACCAGATTCGCGGATTCTTTGCTACCGTTGGACCACGTCATTACGACCGTCGTATAGCTTACCCATGTTGCGCGATCGGCATTCTCTCCCGAATCTCCCCAGTGTTCCCGTCAACACTTTCCCCCCTCCCAATCCCCCTCCCCACCTCCCTCCGCGCGACTGCGCGCGCAGTGCCGCTGATGATGGAGGTGCGGCGGCAGTGGGCGCGCTTCGTGGACCTGTCGTCGTGGGACGCGCGCAAGCCGTGCTCCAAGTGGGCTTTCGTCACCTGCAACAAGCGCACGGGGGAGGTCCGGTGAGTGCACGGTTGCGGGCGGAGGAGTTGGGCGTTCTCGCAAGCGGTGGGGAGTGGGGCGCGGTAGGTGCGGAGTGGGGAGTGGGGAGTGGTTCTGTGACGGCCCTTGAGCTTTTCCTCCCGAAACCCCTCCGCTTTCGCCCTTCCGCCCTGCCGCCCGCCCGCTCATCCGCCCTCCATCCTTGCGCGTATGCATTGCTCTACTATCTCCCGGCTCCCCGCCCCCCCCCCTCCTCACCTCTGATTCCTGCCACTCGCCATCCCTCCACTCCCCATCGCTTCCCTCCCCATCCCCTTCCCTCCACTTCCCTTCTCTCCCCGCCCCTCTCTTCCCCCCTCTCGTCCCAGCCCTCAACCCAAAGCGCGATTCATCCTCGCCCCACCACTAATCCACCGCCACCCCGTCGCCCACATGCTCACCTCCCCCTTCCCCCTCCTCTCTCCCCCGCAACCCCAACCTTCTCTCTCCCTCCCGCCCCGTCTACACCCTCGCGTGCGCGCAACACGTGGGCAGGCGCATCGACGTGGCGAAGAAGGGCATTGAGGGCCCGCTGCCGTCCGTACTAGGCAACATCTCCACGCTCTTCCAGTTGTACGTGCCGGCCCGCCGCCCCCTGCCGCCCTGCCCCCCTGCCCCCACTTCCCCCCCTGCGCTGCCGTCCCTTCCGTTGCTCTTGCTCCGAACGTTCGCCTCTCGCTCCCTCGCGTGCTCCCCTCACCTGCTGCTACCCTGCGCGCACACGCAAGCACGCACATGCGCACGAGTCACCCGGCAGGGTCAGGCGCGGCTATCGCTCTTATCACATGCGCCGAAGGCCTTCTGTCCCTCCCCTCCCGCTCCCCTCCCCATACCCCTCCCCGTTCTCCCTCCCCCGCGACCAGCTTCGCCAACGACAATGGGATCACGGGGCCCATCCCCGAGTCCTTCGGTCAGCTCACCCAGCTGCAGCAGATGTACGACACCGTACCTCACGCCCCTTCTCCCCACGCCCTTTCTCCGCGCGCTCTCTCACCTTTTCCCCGCCCATCTTCCCTTCGCCGTCCCCTCTCCGCCCTGCACTTTCCGCGTTCCCCTCCCACTCTGCTGCTTTACTCCACGTGACGAACACTTTTTCTTGCAACCACTGCCTTTCGCCCAATCCAAATCCCGCTTTGCCTCACAACCATCCTATTCCTCCCCATACCTATATCCCCCCCCCTTCTTCCTTCTCTCCCCCCCCCCTCCTCACCTCTCCCTTCCTTCCTTCCTTCCTTCCTTCCTTCCTTCCTTCCTTCCTTCCTTCCTTCCTTCCTTCCTTCCTTCCTTCCTTCCTTCCCCCCCTCCCTCCTTGCCTCCCCACCCCACAGTGTGCTGCGCAACAATCGCATCACAGGCCCTCTGCCTCGGAGCATGGGCAAGCTCTCCTCTCTATGGGAAATGTCCGTCCTCTCTCCCGCTGTCTCTCTCTCCCGCTCCCTCTCCCGCTCCCTCTCTCCCGCTCTCTCTCTCTCCCGCTCCCTCTCCCGCTCCCTCTCTCCCGCTCCCTCTCTCCCGCTCTCTCTCTCCCGCTCCCTCTCTCCCGCTCCCTCTCCAGTTCTCTCTCCTGCTCTCTCTCCCGCTTCCCTCTCTCTCTCTCTCTCTCTCTCTCTCTCTCTCTCTCTCTCTCTCTCTCTCTCTCTCTCTCTCTCTCTCTCTCTCTCTCGCCCCCCCTGTCCCGTTCTCTGTCGCTCCCGTTCCCTACCTCTAAATCTCTCTTCCCCCCTTCCTTCCTTGCCTCGCTCCCTCTTTCCGCTCTGTCTTCCTTTCACCAGTTACCCACCCACATTCATAAACATTCCATTCGCCGCCCTAGCCAACAGCATCTCACCAGTTACCGAGGCATGTCATGCCCTTCTGCTCGTTTCCACTCCTCCTCGACCCCACTCATGCCTTCACCGCTGCCTCCTCTGATTCATCACCCTCTCTCCCACCGCCCCTCCACCAATCTTTCCTTTTGTCTCTCCCTTTCTCCCTCTCTCGCTCTCTCCCTCTCTCGCTCTCTCCCTCTCTCTCTCTCCCTCTCTCTCTCTCCCTCTCTCCCTCTCTCCCTCTCACCCTCTCTCCCTCTCACCCTCTCTCCTTCTCGCCCTCTCGCCCTCTCGCCCTCTCGTCCTCTCTCCCTCCCGCTCTTCCCCGCGCAAACACCAACATTTCACCTAGTCTTGTGTCATGCTCTAATCACTTGCTACCACGTATTGAACCATGGCCTCTAAATGGGGTTCGATTCGCCCTCCCGCTCTTCCCCGCGCCCACCCGGCAGGCAGCTGCAGAGCAATCAGATCAGGGACGTCATTCCCACGACATGGAAGGGCATGACCGGCCTCGGTAACTTGTACGCTGCTACCACCCATCACCCTCCCTGCCACGCCATGCCGTCTTGTGCCATCCCATGCCGTATTCCGTATGCCATGTCGCGCATGCAGAGCACGTCGTGCCCCGTGCCCCAACTCGCCCCGCACGTGCCTCTCCTGTCTGCTTCCTGACCCCTCAAATCAAAGCTCACGACGCCACGCCTGCCTGCTTCAGCCTTGTGATGTGACCCCTTACCTTCCATCTCCTTCCCTTCCTTCAACCTTCACTCACACACTTCTTCCCCGCACACGCCACACACACCTTCATCCGTCTCTACCCTTGGTCCTGCTCCTCCCCTCCCCCCTGCCACGCCACCATGGCAACCCTCGCTCGCGTGCGCGCCGTAGCTACATAGCGGACAACCAGATTCAGGGCCCGCTGCCCACGGAGCTCTGCCAGATGACGTCCCTGCAGCGCATGTGAGTGGGGTGGGCGTGGGCGTGTTTTGAGACGTCTCAAAACTTGACGTCCCTGCAGCGCATGTGAGTGTCGTGGGCGTGGGGCGAGTGAGTGTGGTGGGCGGGTGCGGGTGGGAGTCGCAGGCGAGTCAGGTGTGGAGCCCATACATGCATGCACCACCACTTCCCACCCTGTACACCACATAACCACGGCACAGTACCGCATAGCACTGCATGGCACCACCGCATCCGCCCCTTCCCTCCCCCCCTGCCTTCCCACACTACCTTCCTTGTACCTCTCAGCACTTCCCCCAGGAAACCCCTCTCTCAGCACGTCCCAATTGCTCCCCACCTCTCACCACTCCCTTGCCCGCCCCTCTTTCCGTCTTCTGCCTTGCTCCCCACCTCTCCCGGCAGTCGATTCGGCAACAACCAGATCACGGGTCCCATCCCATCATGCATCGGCAACCTCAAAGACATGGTCAACTTGTGAGAGCTGCCGCCTTGCACGCTTGCACCGCCATGCGCATAAACATGGGTCGATCTTTGCTTTTGAACTTGCCATCTCTGCTGCTAGGGGAGCGCAGCCCTCCATTGTCAACCTTGTGGACAAGGACCTGTAAGAGCCAAGCAGCCTCAAGGTCCGTCTGCCTCTCACTTGCCTGCCTGCTTGCTGCTTCCTGCATACAGATAGCTGCACCTCCACTCTCTCGCCAGCTTCCATCTTCCCACCAACTTCCACTCTCGCTCCCCGTTCTCCCTTCTCCTCACTTCTCAACTCTCTTCCGTGCTCTCTCTGCACTGCCCAGCCCCTGACCTCTCATCCCCTCCCCTCCCTTGCCCACATGCCGCATTTCCTCATGGCCCACTCCCATGCGCCCTGCCTCGCAGCTACATGGACAACAACCGCATGACAGGGGTCATCCCAGCGTCCATTGGCAACTTCACCAAGGCCGTCAACTTGTAAGCGCCCCTGCTTTCTCTGCCCCCCCCTCCGCACTGCCCCCTCCGCACTGCAGCATCATAGCAGTATACAAGCAAGCCCTACTCGTAAGACACAGCACGAGGGTATTGGAGACTTCACCAGGGAATCACCTTCCCCTCCTCCACTCAGCTGAAACAGCATCGCTACAGTTCACGCCCAGTTCCCATCCCATCACCCTCTCTGCCACACCACTCCATTCCTTCCTTCACCGCTCAACTCTCTCTTCCACCCACCCTCTGCCTTCACTCTCCCTGCCCACCCCTGCCCACCCCTGCCCACCCCTGCCCCCTGCCCACCCCTGCCCACCCCTGCCCCCCCCTGCACGCCCCCCTCCCTGGCAGTTTCATCAACGGCAACTTCATTGACGGGCCCATCCCCAGCACCGTGGGCAGCATGACCAGCCTTGACACCCTGTGAGCCTAGCCTCCCTGCACTCTCTGTCCATGCCGCGTGCCATTCCTTTCCATGCCATGCAGTCTCAGCGCCCTGCTCTCCTCCCTGGCCACTCTTTCCGTCCCTGCTCCTCCATCCACCCTTCTCGCTCCCTTCTCCCTCCTCCCTCCCTCCCTCCTCCCTTCATCCTCCCTCCTCCTCCCCCCTTCCTGCCGCGTGTCTCTGCCCCCCCCCCTACACATGGCAGGTTTCTGTCGGGCAACTGGATCAAGGGCCCCCTGCCGTCCACCATTGGCAACCTCAAGAACCTCAAGCATTTGTGCGTTGCACACGGGGCAGGCGAGCGGATGGGGGAACTGAGAGGGAACGAGCGGGGTGGGGTGGGAATGAGAGTACGGAAGAGGCGGAGGGTGAAGAGGAGGAGGGATGGAGAGTAGAGAGGTAGAGAGGGAAGAGCAGGGGGTTCCAGGGAGATTTACTGGTGGGTGATTGGGGTGGTGTTACCTTGGGACTGGTGTAGGCAGGGTGCATCGCCATGTGTTTGGCCGCTCATTACTCATTCTTGCTTCCTTGTGCCTGCGTGCGTAAACCTGCATGCGTTGGTGTTGGTGTGCCCAACATTGTGTGTGTGTGTGTGTGTATGTGCGCCACGGCCAACAGCATCATGGAGTTCAACAACATTTCCGGTCCCATCCCAAGCACCATCGGGGACATGGTCAAGTGTGAGAGAATGTAAGTCGCATGCATCCCATCCCACACACAACTACAATCCCGTATCGGTGCCACTGCCCTGTATCCACCACTCTCCCTGCCCTCTCCTTCCTCCCCCATCATGCCTGTCCACTGCACTCTTTCCCCCGACTCCTCCCTCTCAACCCTTCCCACCTTTTCCCCATCTCACCATCCCAATTGACCACCTGCCCTGTCCCCCTCCCTTTCCCTCCCTAACTCACTTTTTCTCACCGTTCTGCCCTCTCGCCCTGCGTGCCATGCTGCCCACGGCACACAGTCTGTTGGACAACAACTATCTCACGGGAGTCATCCCACCCACCATCAGCAAGCTCACCAACCTCGTTTGGCTGTACGTGCAACATCCCTGCTCTGCTCTCCCCATTCACTCGTGCCATTCCTTGACTGTTCTTGACTGGTCTTGACTGTTCTTGACTGTTCTTGACTGGTCTTGACTGTTCTTGTGTTATCATATACGTCCCTCCTTCACTCCTCGTCCCGTCACACCTTGTCACGGCTCTGACGGCTCTACGACTGCCCTGTTGTGCCTCCCATCCCGTCCCCATCCAGCCTTCCATCATTCCTTATCGAGGCTCGTCCCATCAGACCATCTTATTCGTCTCTCCCACCTGCTTTCCACCTCCTCCCCTGTTATCATTACCATCACCATCACCATCACCATCACCATCACCATCACCATCACCATCACCATCTCCATCACTATCTCCATCACCATCTCCATCACCATCTCCATCACCATCTCCATCACCATCTCCATCACCATCTCCATCACCATCACCATCTCCATCACCATCTCCATCACCATCTCCATCACCATCACCATCACCATCACCATCACCATCACCATCACCATCACCATCACCATCACCATCACCATCACCATCACCATCACCATCACCATCACCATCACCATCACCATCACCATCACCATCACCATCACCATCTCCATCACCATCACCATCACCATCACCATCACCATCTCCATCACCATCTCCATCACCATCTCCATCACCATCACCATCACCATCACCATCTCCATCACCATCACCATATCCATCACCATCTCCATCACCATCTCCGTTACCATCTCCATCACCATCTCCATCACCATCACCATCACCATCACCATCACCATCACCATCACCATCACCATCACCATCTCCATCACCATCACCATCACCATCACCATCACCATCACCATCACCATCACCATCACCATCACCATCACCATCTCCATCACCATCTCCATCACCATCACCATCACCATCACCATCACCATCACCATCTCCATCACCATCACCATCACCATCACCATCTCCATCACCATCTCCATCACCATCTCCATCACCATCACCGTTACCATCTCCGTTACCATCTCCATCACCATCTCCATCACCATCTCCATCACCATCTCCATCACCATCTCCATCACCATCACCGTTACCATCTCCGTTACCATCTCCATCACCATCTCCATCACCATCTCCGTTACCATCTCCATCACCATCTCCATCACCATCACCATCACCATCACCATCACCATCTCCATCACCATCACCATCTCCATCACCATCTCCATCACCATCACCATCTCCATCACCATCACCATCTCCATCACCATCTCCATCACCATCTCCATCACCATCACCATCACCATCACCATCTCCATCACCATCACCATATCCATCACCATCTCCATCACCATCTCCGTTACCATCTCCATCACCATCTCCATCACCATCACCATCACCATCACCATCACCATCACCATCACCATCTCCATCACCATCACCATCACCATCACCATCACCATCACCATCACCATCACCATCACCATCACCATCACCATCTCCATCACCATCTCCATCACCATCACCATCACCATCACCATCACCATCACCATCTCCATCACCATCACCATCACCATCACCATCTCCATCACCATCTCCATCACCATCTCCATCACCATCACCGTTACCATCTCCGTTACCATCTCCATCACCATCTCCATCACCATCTCCATCACCATCTCCATCACCATCTCCATCACCATCACCGTTACCATCTCCGTTACCATCTCCATCACCATCTCCATCACCATCTCCGTTACCATCTCCATCACCATCTCCATCACCATCACCATCACCATCACCATCACCATCTCCATCACCATCACCATCTCCATCACCATCTCCATCACCATCACCATCTCCATCACCATCACCATCTCCATCACCATCACCATCTCCATCACCATCTCCATCACCATCACCATCTCCATCACCAGCTTCCTCCAGGGCAACTTCCTGGAGGGCGAGGTGCCTGTGGGAATCACCAAGCTGCCCAAACTCTTCTACTTGTAAGCCCCCTCTCTTCTGCCACCTCTCCTTCTCCTCCTCATCCCTCTCCCTCCCATTCCTGCTCCTACCTATCACGTTGCTCCCTTGCCCACCTTCCCCCGCACCTGTCTACCCTGCTTTGCTCGCTCTTTATCACTCGTTCTACCTCCCTCACACCCTCACTCCCATGCTCCCGCTCCCTCTTTCCTCCACTGTCTCATGCCCATGCCCATGCCCATGCCCATGCCCATGCCCATGCCCATGACCATGACCATGCCCATGACCATGCCCATACCCATGACCATGCCCATGACCATGCCCATGCCCATGACCATGACCATGCCCATGACCATGCCCATGCCCATGCCCATGACCATGACCATGACCATGCCCATGCCCATGCCCATGCCCGTGCCCATGACCATGACCATGCCCATGACCATGCCCATGCCCATGCCCATGCCCATGACCATGCCCATGCCCATGACCATGCCCATGCCCATGACCATGCCCATGCCCATGCCCATGACCATGACCATGCCCATGCCCATGCCCATGACCATGACCATGACCATGCCCATTCCCATTCCCATGACCATGACCATGACCATGCCCATGACCATGACCATGACCATGACCATGCCCATGCCCATTCCTAGATGCTCGATCCTCATCTTCAAGTAACTAATCCCTTCAGGACCATACCCGCCCTCCTCCACGTCTCACCTGCACACCCCCTCCTCCCTTTCTCCCCTCCCCTCCCCTTTCCTCCCCTTCCCTTTCCCTATCCCTTTCCCCACCACCCCCCTCTCCCCACCCCGTCCCCGCAGCAACCTGGCGAGCAACCGGCTGTCAGGCACAGCAAACTGGGACTTCACGAACGCGGCCATCAAGGGTGGGGAGGTCAACGTGCGCTCCAACTACTTCTACGGCACGCCCTCCTTCACCGCCGCCGGCAAGCCCTTCTGCCCCATCACCAAGACCTCCAAAATGAACGGCCTGGATCAGATCTTCCTCTCGTCCTCCAAGTTCAACTGCTTCACCTTCCCTCCCAAGTACCCCTGCCCCGGGTTCAATGAGCCAGGGTACAGCAGTCCAGCAGTCTGCAAGGGCTTCTGTGGGGCGAGTTCCCCGCAGGGCACATGCAACGGGCTGGGGTATTGCAGCAAGACGAGCTCGGTGGTGGGCAGGTGGGGGTGTGTGTGTGATGCTGGGGCTACATTGGCACCGAACGGCACGTGGTGCTTGCCGGGCAAGGGCAGCACGTATGGCAAGAAGTCCATGACGTTTCTGAGAGGCTGATGCGCGCAGGAAAGGTGGTCTGGGAAGGTGGGGGTGCGGGGGAAGAGGAGGGGAGGGGGGGGGGGAAAGGAGATGAAGGAGCGAGGGGATGCTTGTCAGGGCCTGCTTATGGGAGCCGCTGCCAAACCTGGTGAGGGTCGGCTTTTGTACCATACTGGTGTTTGTGGTGGGTGAGCTATTGTAGGGCTGCGGGCGATCCTGTTTCTGTTTTGGTGGTGTGGGCAGAACTTACAGACCGTGCTGGGACTGTGGATGTGTACGGTAGTGATGGTACTGTAGCATTGTTTAGCACTCAGGGAAGTTCGGTGGGGAGGTTCGGTAATAAGGGTGATAGCTAGCTACCCAACTCAGCCTTGTAATACACTTGTTGTATTGTGATTACCCGTTTTGCGATGATTGTGTGCCATTTTGGTTGTAAATTATTCCTGTTGTTACATTTGATTCTTGTCCATACGTGAACTACAGTACATATGCCAGATGACCCAACAGCAAAAATTTTGCTTGAGATGTACACTGGTTAACTTAATTGTTTGATGTACCGCACATGTTTGCTTTATTTATAAATTATGAACCTTGCATGATGTGAATCCTTGAAAATAATTTGAACTCGTTTGAAGCTTTAGCTTGGTGTATTGCTAAGTCAGGATAAGCTCCTTGATTCGTACAGAACATACACACAAGCTCATAACGGGATGCATATCATGCTATAGAGTAACTAGCACACTCCATTAGTCTTGGCAATACTGTTTTTCTTGAAAACACGGAATGTACGCATACGGAGGGCGGAAGAATCCAGCGAATGTGTTATGAGTTGTACTAATACTAAGAAGAGTGCGTGGAAGACTTTATAAAAAAGATGTCGAATACAGAATTACGAGAATGATAAAGAGGCATGCATTTATAGGGTCGAAATCGTGGTAGGCGAGGACCTTGGGACGTGGATGGTTTGGAAGTGTCGGGATTGGTGCGGGGCGACTCGGAAGTGGTTCGGGCCGAAGTGTAGGCCGAACCCAAACTGACGCGAACAGTTCGGGTTGTCCTCGCTAGGAGTAGCCTCTACAGTAATGAATTCACTTTCATTACACTCTCCCACCTTCTAAATAAGGTGCCCTTATACGTAAGCGAGTCTTGCAGTAGCGTGAAAACTGCAGATCTCGGTTGAAACTGATATGACGGTGCGGAAGCATGTTGACTTTCGAGTTGACGCGTGGCTGAGCGCGTTGACCAGGCGAATTTCAAAGAGTTGGGATGTCAGCTGTTGATACTGTCGATGTCAATCGGGCGGTTGAAAGCGAATGTCGATCTCAAATCGTTCGACGAAGGAAGACTGTCGATGTCGCGGATGTGTATCGGATGGTTCTGGTGACTGTCATGTCGGCGGGAATTTTGACGTGCTGTCAGAGATCGATGAATCTGGTGCCGTCGATGCCGATGAAGCCATCGCATGCGTCCGTTGTGCTGGGTGTGTCAGACGAACTGTCAAAAATAACTGCCGAAATGTCAGAGGCCTGTCAACAACAGTGCGTGAGCACTCTTTCTCCCCCCCCCCTCGGAAGAGAACTGCTGCCCACCAAAATGTGCACAGCTGCGCGGGCACAAAACCACAACCCCCCTGACGCCGAGGGTAGGACAGAATACCAAGTGTTATGACCTCCCGCCTGAAATTCGGCCGTTGTATAGTCGAAATTGCTGTCGGTGGCGAAATCTTCACTGTCGAAAAACCCCGAAAAATGCCTTGGGTAAACTCTATCGAAGTCCCTTCGAAATAACATCGTTTTTTGCAGGGGCTCGGCATTAGGAAAATCTTCTTGTTGTCTTGTTGTCGCGACTGTTGCTGCAGCATCTCTCGTGACTGCCACCTCGTAATCTCCCGCGTGGCAGTATCGAATGACTTTATTGCTGCCCAATCTCCAGCTGGCAGTTGCTGCAATCCCGAATTGCTGTTGCCGTTTGGCAGGTTGCTGTGGCGGAAATCTTCGCTGTTGTGTTCCAGCTGTGAGCGCCCTCGGCAATGTTGTCCAGACTCTCCCAGGCCTTTGTCGCGATGCTCCGAAAACTCTCGGGCAGGGATGAAAACAGTTGCTGCTCTTCCCCCTGACCTCGCAAATATTTCTCAAAGGTGAAAGCTTGAACTGTCGATGACGTCAGCTACCTCGGCTGTTGTCATGACTCGCCGAAGACTTCGGGGCAGAGGCGAAAAAGCTGTCCTTCCTCCCCCCACCTGTTGTGATACATTTCACCATTGTTGCGGCTGGTACCCCTTCAACTCTGCAGATTTTGCCACCATGAAGTTCACCACGGCAGTTTTCGCGCGCTTAACTTAGCGCCGCTGCAACTCCGCCGTTGTCGCGAAATTGTCGGTCGTCACCGCCGAACTCTTTTGAAGACCCAGCTCCCAGTACTGCTGCTGAAACCCGGAAGTGTCGCTGTTGAAATTTCTCGTACGTCTTGGTCACATGCAGGTTATCCCCTTGAAGAATCGGTGTATTTAGCGTGCCCACCCGTCGCCATTTTTATTTCCTGCAATTAACCACACTAGCCACCCACCAACAGGAGGTGCTTTTTGTGCGGAACCCAGAGCTATGGGTCTACCGGGACCGAATTTCATGGAACCTAGCCCGCATCGACGCCGCAGCTCTCGCCGAAGAATTTCCCCAGATGGCTTCGAAGTACACCGTAAACCGCTGAAACAGCTGGAGAGTAGACGTTCACCCGTCTCCCACCGTTGGAATAAAACCCCGAAAATCATGGTTGTTGAAGCACTCCTGAAGTATTTCCCGCCGCGTAACCCCGACGCTTCCGCCGTTAACCCTGATACTCCGGCGTTCACCCGTCTTTGCACCCGTCGAAATTACTTAGCGAATCCCAGGTATCCTTGGCGATACACCGCTCGCCGCGCCTCCATGTAACAATATCAAACCCTTTCGGGGGTCTACCGAATCGACTCCGAAATTCGCGGTGGATTGGTGTACGGGCTCAACCTTTCACTCTGGAGATCTGCTGGAGCACCCACAACTTTCCCACCATCACATTTTGTTTTTGTCTTCACCCCCCGACAACTGTGTCGGATGAGGCATAACTCTGTGTTGCACGCGATTTTTCTGACATTCCGTGAAGGCGCGAACGCTATCGTAGCCGGGTCATGTTTATCGGACCAAACAGTCGGACCGGCCACTTCGCTGCCCACCGCGTCTATCGCGGTTGAAACTCCTCAGCTTCGGAAATCCCTTCTTCGCCGCTACACCACCGTCGGGTAGACTGTTGAATCAGGAGAAACTCTGACAGCTGCACCAAAATCTTCAGCTCCGACTTTTTCGGCGGGGTTACTGCTACCGATGGTTCGGTCTTGTCGGGGCCGAAACAGTGTCGCACCATGAAATTTTCTGTGCGCCCAGCTGTCGAATTGGCGCAATACCCGCGCTTTTTAGTCAGCACAGAGCTAAACACAGGGCCCCACCTTGGGATCCAGTGGCCAATAGGACTTACACTTTGCCTTCGAGGCCTTCTGGGCGCGAGGTATGTGAAACGTTCGGAAACCTCGGCCAGTAGTGGTACCCATCCGGCTACCGCCGCTTAGCCGCAAACGTTTAGGCATCAGCTTGAGCGTTTCCCAGTGGGTCGTAATTCTCGCCTCCTGAAGCTTGAAACCCGTTTCTCTCGCTGGACCCGAACTTGACGCAACTCCGTGTATTGTAGCCGATGGAAACCCCGAAAATCGCGGGTCTAAACATTGCGCCGAATCGTTGCCCCGCCAGTGTATTGTCCTGTCTGTGGCGCAACTACCCTTGATCAGGGGGTGATGTGCCGCCTGAAGCACAAATGTCGGCCATTGCGGTTGCTCCGAAATTTTCGCCGATCGTAGTGCAGGTACAGCAGTGACCCTAACGATAGGCAGTCTAGTCGTAGGCGGTTTTTCCAAACTTTTCGGTGGATTGAAAAACAACTTCCGTCTAACACTGTGCCGCTCTGCCAAAAACGCCAGCGACGCACCCTCCTGCAGCCACACCGGCCACACCCGGGTGGGACGACGGTAGACCCCCGCTTTCTTCGGGCAGTCGCCACGCCGTCTCTCGTTGCATTTTCCGATGCAAATCACCATGCCCCTGGCCTGCCCCACCAGCAGTCGTTTTCCACATGCTGCTACCCGAAATCTTCGCGCATAGTGACGACGCGCCACTTGCCGAAGACTTCCACTAGCTCGTGCGCAACGTGACGAAGACGCCCATCGCCACTTGCCACATGCAGTTAGCTCCGTAATTGTCGCGCGCAGCTGTCGACCACATGTTGACGCAACTCGCACGACGATCTTGCTTCCGACAACTTCGGACGTGCGCCGACGACGAGCCTGCCGACGTCAGCCGCTACACAGCATTAACTCCGAAATTGCCGAAAACGACTACTGTTACTCACGCATTAATTGCGACGAAAGCAAAAGCTGTCCGCCACCCGGGGGGAGGGAGGCCACGGTCCATCTCGACCCTCGAGGGCAAGAATCCGTCGGTGCAGCAGTAGCGCCCGTAAGAACATGGCCGCTAGGAGCAACTATTCGTTCTCCTATCCGGCTACTGCGCTGCTCCTGTCACCACGACATCCTTCCCTGTCCCTACACTCTAAAAAACGAAGAACCTAGGAACTTAGGCTCTGATACCAAGTGTTATGAGTTGTACTAAAAAGAGTGCGCGGAAGACTTTATAAAAAGGATGTCGAATACAGAATTACGAGAATGATAAAGAGGCATGCATTTATAGGGTCGAAACCGTGGTAGGCGAGGACCTCGGGACGTGGATGGTTTGGAAGTGTCGCGATTGGTGCGGGGTGGCTCGGAAGTGGTTCGAGCCGAAGTGTAGGCCAAACCCAAACTGACGCGAACACTTCGGGCTGTCCTCGCTAGGAGTAGCCTCTACAGTAATGAATTCACATCCATTACAGAATGGGTGTGCTCCACAGAGTGCGTAGGAGGCATCAAACGCGTTCCTGCTATCGGGGAAAACGTCAACTTG